GGTATTTGATTTTTAGTACATAATTTTTTTTTCCTGGTTCTAATATGGCAAACCCTCTTCTCTCAAGGAGTACTTCCAGGGACAAGGGGAGGGACTTCCGGTGGCAAGGGTCAGAGGTCAGGGCAGGACTTCCAGTCCCAAGATGGTCCAGGGGGCGGGGCATCTGTCAAGGGGTGGGGTTACCCATGTGGCCCTCAACAGCTTGCTAAAACTTGCTAAGCAGCCCTCCACCCAAAATAATTGCCCACCTCTGCAGTAAAGGGTGGTGTGTGGTACTTGATGCTGGCAGGGGCTGCTTGATGGGGCAGATTGAAGAGCCTGTTAGACCTCTGTGGGAGGCAGTTGTCCCTGAAGGGGATTAAAGGGGGTGATAGTGTCCACTGGTGTAGAAGCTGGTGCCATGTGAGGGCAGCAGTGATGTGACTCTTCCATGCCCTGCTCTTTTCTCTGTCTTTTGCCTCCTTGCCCCCCAGTCTGTACCAGAGCGGGAGAGTGCGACCCCTGCCACTGTAGCTACTTCTCCAGGGACTTGAATGCTGGACCCTCCCATCAGCTCCAAGAGCCAGGCTGAAAAAGTGCAGGCTCACATTTGCCTGCCCACCTACCCACAGCAGAGCACACCTCCTGGAGCATAAGGGTGGGCAGCACAGGTGTTACCAGGGTTAGGGGCTTCACTTTTCAGCACAACTCATTCCCTTTCTCCCCCCATGTTCCCCCCCATGAAGCTGGTGGGAGGGACATACTGCTAGGGTGTTGGAGCAGGCACAGTGCCAGGCATGTGGAGAGGCTAGTGCTTACCTCCTCTCACAGGGGATAGATGCCATAGCACCCCTTAAAGGATCTGGTGGCACCTGGCATCCTAGTTGAGAATCACTGAGCTAGAGACTGAAAAGTAGTGTTTGAGCCCGTTTTGTTGGGCACACAACCCAAAGAGCAGAGGAGTGGATATTTTATCTACGTGGCTTCTGCTCTGCCACATTCCTGCTCTGAGTTGGCTCACACCACTCTACCCCTTGCTGCACTCAGGAGAGTTCATGTGACTAATTATATCATTTTGAAAATAAACAGCCTCAGCCAAATTTCCTTGTCAAGTAAAGAAACTTGCTCTACAAACAGGCTGTGAACAGTTTGCCTAAAAACTCCTGCAATGGGCTTCTCATGAAGGCTAGTTCCACTCTTCTACTTAGGGAAGACAGGTGCAAGTCAACCAAAGCTCCATTGCAACAAAGAAGCCAAAGGCTTCCTGCAGACTAAACTCTCATTTAACCTGAAAAAGGTCTCCCTTACAAGAGATTAGAAGTGTCCCAGTGCTGGACAGTGAAAAATATTTATCTTTTGTAACTGAAACTAGGTGGGTGGGTCAGATTAGGGTTATGCTCTACTCACCTCCCCAAGATTAGATAAAATTGTTCTGGTTTTGGCTTAATGCTGTTTGACAGAACAGCAAAAAGGGAAAATATCTCATAAGTTATTGTTGCATTTCAGTCCCAAATAAGAACTATATTATGAAGCCCATGGGGAATGATGTGTGTGTATGAGGGTGAGGGGGGAAATAAAGAAGGGAGTTGATTGATTGGTAAGATATACTGTCCCTGAGAGGTGTTTTTTGTTTGTTGGTTTTGTTTTGTTTAGAATTCAGCTATTTGTAAGTGTAATGAATTAGAGATGCCTATTGTAACTAAGGTTTTAAACTTTCCTCAATCTTTCCCAAACAGGACAAAGAACCTGTGCAGAAGCCAGAAGAGGTAATTTGTGTGCATCTTCATAAAGTCATGCAGAAGGTGGAATGTGTGTTTTTTCAGTAGCTTAGCTTCGTTAACCATTCGGTGTCAGAGTTGGTAAGAGGGAGGAGCAGACCTGCAAATAAGATGGTGGAGTGAGATTCAAAGAATATATTATCTTCTCCTCCATTTGTTCTGCGAGGCTCTTTTTTTTCTCACGCTTCTTTTTGTCTCTTCACATGTGTCCTGTTCTTTCTGTCTGCCTGAGAATGATTAAAGTTACTTACTAATTACTGTCTTTCTCCAAGAGCTCCTGCTTTTAAAATATTGGCAAAGCTGGCCCTCCAATTTTGTTGGTAGCTTTGTATTTTGAATGTTGTATCTTAGAAACCTTCCAAGTTCAAAGTATTGCAGTAAAGTTGCTAATTTTTTTACGGTGGGTGCTATTAAGGAGTCAACATTTGTGAGCAATTACTATGCAGTGATAGCTAACATGTGGCAGCTATTCACTATTCTCTAATGAGGAAAGCATCATAGGTGCTACTTTTTGATGATGACTGTGTCCTATTAGTAAAAAAGGAATTGTCTGTGTTTGAGATGGATTTACCTCAGTCATCAGTCAGATGGCTAGAGAGAACGAAGTTAAAATAGCATATGGCTAAAAACTCAGAAAACAGAAAAGCTAACGTCCTGATTAGTGTTACTTTACATTTTTAAAAAGATCAGGTAGAGTTGGAGTGGTGTTGTCGTCGTGATGGTCCAGGAAGTACACAAGTATCAAAACAGAAAGACTTTCTCATTTCTTGCTTCTCAGTGTTTCTACAGGCATTCATAGAAACTGAAAGCTAACAGGGGACGAGAGAGCTTGGAATCTCAAGCCTGTGTGAAAATGTTTTTGTATATTACCATATCTTAAGGTGCCACCTTTATTACCCCAGAAACTTTGTAGCGGATGCATTTTACTCTTGAAAGGGCAGTCTAAATCATTCTAAATCCTGATCATATTCAACTGAATATCTTTTTCTATATTTAATCCCACTGCCCTATTCTCACAGTGGAAAAACTGCCACATGGCTTTTCAGCATTCGGTGTTCTTTTTTGGAGCACTAATGCTGAGTCCTGAAGACTTCTTTCCCTGTCTGTTCAGAATAAAGCTCCAGCAGAAGGTGGTAAATTTGGAAACGTCCCTCCAAAATCCCCAACTGAAGGTAGCATCGGAGAGGAGGACAGTTTTGGCACACGTAAAGCCAGATCTTCATTTGGCCGAGGCTTTTTCAAGATAAAAAATAACAAGAGGACAGCAAGCGCCCCCAATTTGGGTAGGTACCATACACCTGAGCACCTTTCCAGGGTATTTTTTCCTAATTAGAAAGATTAGCCATTGCAAATGCCAGTGGGCCAACCACAGTCTGACTCAAAGATATTTTTCCAAGTAGAAGTGCATTTCAGATAATGCAGAAACCAGTGGCCACACCACAGCAGTGCGGGTGCGGGTAGTCCTGTATTAACTGTCTCAGACCAGCAGGTCCTGACCTTTCTGCTGTACTGGAACGTGCTGATTCCAAGTGTTAGTTTACATTACAAAAATGCAACAATCAACCTGCATCTTTTTTGTCCTGTTTTACCTTTATCTTAGAGTTCATGAGGCTCTTAGATGTTTGAGGAGAGAGAGTAATACATCTACCTTGCATACACATGCACACTATATTTTAATGTATGTTTATGGATCATTTGAATATTAATGATTGGGACTGGATTGACTGTCAGAATGGAATATCAAGAGCCCATCTAACATTGTACTTTTAGAGGCAGGATACCCTTCCTGAAATTTCCATTTGTTTCTGTAACTTGATAATACTTCCATATTGAAATGAAACAAGTAATACCATAGACATATTGCAAGGAGAACTTAGGCAGCTTAGGATACCTATCCACATGCCCAATGCCTGCTCCAGTGCATTCTAATTACAATGTGTTGGAGCAGGTTTGATTAATAGAGTGTGCTGGAGAGTGCTAATTAACACACTCCAACAAAAGTCTCAGCATCACATGTATTCAGTGTCCCCATGCTTCAAAATGGCAGTGGGGGTGCTTTAGCTTGTCAAGTGAGCTTTAGTTAAAGCACCCCCGCCTCCATTTTGAAGCACAGGGTGCTGAATACATGAGATGTTGCAGGTGCTTTAATTAGTGGCTCCCAAGAGCGGCTCTAATTAAAGTGCCCCATCCCCCTCCCACACTGGAACAGCTGTAAAGATGTCTATAGAGACATACCTGCAGTAGCACCTGTCCAAGAGCAGTCTTTCTATCCTTTTAATAAAAACACCAGCAAAATTTCTGCATCTGAAAAGCATCTACCCACTTAAAAGTTTAATTTCACCTTGAGAAGGGAGAGTATCTTCATCCTTCAGCTTAACTGAGTTTTAATTGTTGCCATTTGGAGCAGAATAGACATTTGCTTTTATTACACAGAGGTCATACCAGACCTTTGCTCATTGGAGATTATCCACTGGAGCAAATTATCAGGGGGACAGAACTGGGTTGTGGTGTCTCCATCATTGTCTAACCTGCACTTAGAAACTATCAAAGATGTTGCTCAAAAGAGGAGGGACAATAGCGACAGATGGCCCAAGACTGGACTGGTCTTGAGACCTTGGGCAGTCTCACAAGGAAGATGAACTATGCTGTGCTGAACCCCAATGAGCAGTGTCACCCTATTTTGGTTTGCCTTCATAGATAGGCATGTGTTTTACTGCTGTGTTAAGAAGACTCTCACCAGGCAAAACTTGTGTTACAGCAGCAGTGACAGATATGATCCAGCATCAAGTAATGGAGTTGTATTACATGAACTCTTGATGTCCCTTTCAGCTCTGTTTTCAATGATTCATCGATCCACAGCCATATTTTTCTTTCTCCCCCATATAATATAGAAATGTATTGGTCTGCCTGCAACAGATTTAGAGTCCATTTGGATGATTAGACCAAACTGTCTCATCTCTAGTTGTAATCACTTCTTTGTCTGATCTCTGCAATGGAACAAAAAAATGCAATTGTTAAATAAGCCTTGCAAGCTGAAAGCGGTGGGGTCTCGTGGTTCCAGCAGAAGACAGTGATGGGGTTTCTGGTCTTGTGTTTACTGTATGAATTGAGGAAAGTCCCTTATTTTGTTCTTGTTTCATTGGATCTATCCGTATAACTGATGTCATGATATTTACCTCCCTCACTGGTGTTTTGTGGGGAACAAGCACAATGTATTATTAATAGAGATGCAGTATATTATTCTTTGTATGAAGACTGGAATCATCTGGATGCTTTCACCCTTCTTCAATATAACTTTGCTCTGTTAATTTTTGGTGATGGTAGTGGTGGTGGGGAATGCATTGGTGATGCTAATCTCTGTGGATTCAGTGCCATGTGTGATGCATGTGTCTATCATACTGCTCTCCCCTTGTCTTGTATTTTTTGTAATGTGAGTTTTGATGTGTGTTTTACTTTGTCACTCTGCGTGTTCTCTCCCATTGTGCTGCTTGTGGTTATGTGCATTATTTGGATATCTGAAGATCGCAGTCGAAGTGCAAGCGCACCTACCTTAGGTATAGTAGTCTTGCATGTCTGCCTGTACAAGTGCTACATAGTGATTGCTGCTAACGGCTGGGTTTGACTATGCACTCCTAAAGCAGAGCTAGAAACAATATCCATCACTGAAAGAATTTTTTTTCATGTAACATCTGCCCACTACTAAAAGTCTGCTGCACTGTTCCATGATAATTACTACTAATAAGATGTTACAGTAAAAGATTAACTTGCCACTGAACACGAGTATACCCATTGACCCAAACAAGAAGTTAGGGAATGAAAGATAGTGGTTTAAGTTTACCTATATTTACAGAGGTATAGCCATACATTCTACTGACTGTTGTGGTAACTTCATGGTTATTAACGTCAGTGTATCTGTCTTGTCATCCAATTTGGAGAGTCTGAAATGCAGCTTGAATCTTGAAAATACTGGCCAGACTTTCCTTAAGCTAACAAGCACTGTGGGGAAGGATACATAGTTTTTCTTTCTTGCTGAAATAATTAAGGAAGAAATGAATGTAATAAACATAAGAGTTTTTGCAGAAAGAAAGGGAGACTGATCAGTCTAATCAGGTCATTAAACGCCCGTCTGGAAGGTGCTCAAATACTGTGCTGATGATTGGGGCAGAGCAACTGAAATGGAATGGAGCATTCTGCCTTCATGTATGCACATGTGACCTGACACCAGTTGGAGTAATTGAAAGTAGATGCAACTCTAGCAGATGACAGGATAAGTGGTCTCTCTTCCCTGTCTCAACCCCATTTGCATCCATAATGTCACTTCCATAAGACATCTATTCTAAAGTCTAGTGTGGTTTCTCATCCCTGTCTTGACCCCATTGGTGTCTATAATGTCACTTCTATAAAGCTTCTGTTCCAAAGTGTAGTGTCAATGCTTGAAGAACAAATGCAAGGAGCACTCATTCTAGAACCATAAAATCCCTGCAAATTCATTCATCATTGTCTTGATAGTTGCTATCAAGAATACTGTTGAAATGTACAAGTTCTTTTCTCAGGCCATTTCTTTAAAAATGGCTCACAAAGTAGCACTGTCCTCCAGCAACAGGCTATCCTATCTGGCTTTCAGTAAAGCTTGAAGTGCTCAGAAAACGCACACAAAAACAAAGGATATACTTTTGGCTGAGGCATCTAAACTTTGCCCAGCCAAGTGTCATGCTGGCTAATTTTTAGGAATCATGGGACTATGACTGACTTTCATTAATTGGAGCCAGTGCAACCACCTTCATCATTAACTCTGAAGTGTAAGGGCACACATACTTGAATAACGTACTCCAGTTTGACCCAAGTAATTTGAACCTGCTGTATTGTGCTGCTGGTGGTGAGATTTATATCCCACCCTCTCCAGAGAGCCTCAGGGTGGCTATCAATAAATGACAACCCAAAAAGAAAAAAAAACAGTAGAGTCCCCAAATGGCATGGCAGCCCAGAACTTGAAAACTGCGCTCACACTCCCACTTCCTTTGAAAAGGTCTATTTAAAAAAGAGTTTATTTAAAAAAATGGGGCCTGTAGGTTCACACCTAAGTGAAAGGTAAGGAAAGGATCTACAGGCTACACTATAGGTCTCCATTTGGCTGCATTTCAGTCATGGCTGTTTCACCTAGTCAAACTCATGCAGTAGGTTTATGCTTGTCACTTGCTCTTTTGTTGTAAGTTTCCTTTTAGCAAATACGTGATGGTAAACAAACTCCTGCTGATTTTCTTTGCCTGTAGCTATCTGGCATTTGCTAGTGCATCTCTGCTTAAGTAGTATCTCTGCTTAGATTCTTCAGTTATGTGTCTTTTAAAACTGTCTTTTTTTTGTTTTCTTCATTTTTATAGTTGTGTCAACTACATTCTCGAGACAGCAGCCTTTCTGTTTGCCCTGACTGGCTGTGAAGTCTTAAGAGAATCTTTTTATTTTTAAAGACCTAACATGATAATCATGGATGGAGTAGTATTCCTGAGCAGGGAAAGATACTGGATACATTCATCCTGTGACTCTTAAGAAAGAAACAATGGTTTTTAGTCTGAACAAAGCCCAAAAGATTGTGGTGCATGCTTGTAAAAAGAGCAGAATGTTCCATTATGTGCAGAAGAATAAATGCCATCTTTTCCCATTAACATTCTTGAGATGGAAGGAGTTGGTGGTTAGAATTTACTAGATGGACATCTAATGATATACTGCATTTTGTGACGAAGGGACAGCGGTAAGAAAGACTTCTGTAGTGCTTAGGGCACCCTGGAGCTTACTCTGCCATGCTATTGACCTGCTGCAGAGCTTCCTGTGCCTCAGCATAGCTATAAGCAAAATGCCTATAGTAACAATTCTTGAACAGGTGATTAAAGAACATAAAGTATACATTTTGTGTATTGCCAGTTTGCAAGTGCAAGGTGTAGGCAGGAACATGGGCAACTGGTGCCTCCCATGTCTGGGGGGGCACCAGATTGCCGACCAGGGGCGTCCCCCAGCAGCTGATCACCAAGTGCGGAACCACCAGCGGCGAAACCAGAAGTACACCTCTGCCGACACTTCCAGTTTCGCAGCTGGCACTTCCAGGGGATGCACGGCCAATCTCAGGGGGTACACATGCACCCACATGCACCCCCTATGCATCACCAGTGGACAGGAACATGTTTTTAGGTTTTGTCTCTTTTGGACCCCCTCTACTTTTAAATTGATCGTTTACTTCAATTCTGGCTAGAGTTGGATTCAGCAGTGTGTTCATAGAGCATAATGCAGGCAAAGTACTGCAGAGGTGAAGTGTTACTGGCATTTGTTTTCTAATAGCTGAAACAGAGAAGGGATCTGCAGATCACTTGGATCTGGCTGGTTTGTCCCCTCGGCCAAAAGAAAACGATAGTGTGCAACTGTCTCCACCTTCACCTGACTCCAAAAAGAAGGCCAGAGGAATCAAGAAATTATTTGGAAAGTAAGTAAACTATGAGAGGTGATCATTCTTGATGGCTGCATCACTAGGGGGACTGTCAGTAGGACACAGACACCAGAAACCCAGCTCAAGCTGGATATGGGCAAAGTGGTTGCCATTTGAAAGTTGCTGAGTGAAATAAGCTGCTGGTCTCAGTGTAGCAACTAGTGAACTCCTTCTCGTAGAGTCTCCCCAAGGCTTAGCATGTTTGTAGTGCTTTCTGGTTCTCACTCATCCTTTCTGCACCTTCCCCCCTGACCCTCCCCGGTCTAGTAGCTGTAGTGTAGTGTGACCAGTGTGTGGGCAAAACAGTGAAAAATGTATTGTGGTTTAGTTCATGGTTTGTCAGTATACTCTGTGGTTGCAGTAATAGAGGAATTGGTTTCGCTGTTATCATGTGTGATACAGTGTTAAATACTGCTTTCCCTCCTTTGTTTAGACTCAGACGAAGTCAGTCTACCACATTTAACCCAGAGGATATATCTGAGACAGAGTTCAAAAGAGGAGGGACAAGAGCGACAGCTGGACCAAGACTAGGCTGGTCTCGAGACCTTGGACAGTCTCACAAGTAAGATGAACTATGCTGTGCTGAACCCAAATGAGCAGTGTCACCCTATTTTGGTTTGCCTTTATAGAAAGGCATGTGTTTTACCACTGTGTTAAGAGGACTCTCACCAGGCAAATCTTCTGTTACAACAGCAGTCATATTGGTAGTCAGTAGGCACACCCAGATTCTAAGGATGTTGCCCTTTTGGAGAGCGGGGCCAGGAATTTAAGTGTGGCCCCAGCAATGAAGTTCATGTGGGTATGCTGTGTGCCTGTGCCTGAGGGTAACCTCAGTAGTGGAAGTTTGATGTACATGCATTCAGGGAGAGAGACAAAGGGAACTGTTCACGAGTGTCAGCCCGCATGCGTTTCGAGCAATGCTTCATTCATTGTCATTAAACCAAAGCTTGATATGGTTCCCTTTCCTTATCTTCTAGTACACTGGAATATCTGTGGGGATTGTGAAGCTACTGTTATGATATACAAAATATTTTGTAGTATTTTAAAGATTAAGCCATCCTGGAGCATGAGGCTGCTTCTGCAGCATGGTTGTTATTGGGCCTATGGATTGGCCAATCTTAGGGTCCCTTTTTGCTAGGTGTGGCATGTAATGAATGTATGTAATAAATAGTCCGTGGCCCAAAGGGCTTACAAGACCAAAAAAAAAAAAAAGCATAGATGCAGACTCTCCCAGCTATGGCCATAGCTCTTAAACCCCTTTGATTTTGTTATATTTTATTTTTCTAATAACATTTGAAAAACAGTTGTCCTCTGCTTTAGTGACCTGGATATGCCATTTGCTAAATGGACAAAGGAGAAAGTTTGCAACTGGCTTCAGGACCAGGGTTTGGGTTCATACATAAATAGTGGCAAACACTGGATACTCTCTGGGCAAACCCTCTTGCAAGCTTCTCAGCAAGACCTGGAAAAGGTAAGAAGTTAAAAGAGATATTTATATTGAAGTAAAAGTAAGCTTTTCATTTGTGTATCTAAATTAGGGCTATTCAGTGCAAAAATTAAAAGATGGTGATTATAAAATGAAACAAATCAGTTTTACACTCCTGATTTATTATTATTTGATGGCAAGTTAAAAAAAAGTGCCCTTGAGGGTATTTAAATGTGTGGTCTAACTGCAGTAGTCTGTTGGCACATCAACCTGTTTTCCATATCAGACATTTAAATCACTTGTTAAAATAGAGATTATGGTCTTGGCTAGCCTGTTATAAATAACTGTGTAAGGTGGGTGTAAAAGGTAGTTATGATGATTTGGTAGCAGTTTGTCTTCACTCAGCCCAGGTGAGAATGACAGCATAAGTGCAATGCCCTAGAATCGGATTCTCAGTGTGTATAATTATAATTATGAAGTTAACTGTGCCTCAGGTTTTAAACCCTGTAGTGGCGGGGGGAGGTGAGGACCTTGTTATTTGTTAGAGTTTATTTCGGTCCAAAATGAAGCTGTGTTGAATGGTTAGTAATTTTGGTTGTCAACAAACAAGAAAAGCAAGCCTGGTGTCGGCTTCCTCAGGAGATGTAAAATGTTGAATTAGCCCACTAGTTATACTAAACTGAGATTAGAAAGCATTGGTGTGGACCTTAAGGTGTCAGTGAAGCATTCTGTAAATCCTATATTTGCAAAGGTCCTGTGACAGCTGTACTTGCAGTAGAACTGGGCATGGCTACCATCAGGCATTGGGAAGCACTTAGTTTTTTTTAATGTTTTAATACATTTGATAAATAACACCTATAGAACACTTTGTTTTTCAGAGCACATTAAAGCTATTAACTAGTTAATTTTCACAGTTTCCTTTGCCTAAATGCAAGGTAGGCAATTAAATACATTGAACCTTAAAATATTATGTTGACTATTATAATTTAGTACGATTTAGCATGATTTCCTTATATTGTGTAAGATTACTGGCACTAAATTAAAGTATCAAAATGCACTAAATCCTAAATAAGTGGCCTGGTTTTCAGAAGGGCTGGGCACTGGCTTTCTATTGACATCCAAAGGCATAATGGGTACTCTGCAAACATTAGACTATGCTCTTTTAGGTACTTCATTATGGATTTAGGTTTCTAACTGTAGATACAGATTTAAGATCAAATTCTGTCCTCTGATACATGTGCTCGTTACGTATCCGAGGACAAGCTTTTGTCTTTTATTGTTAGGACTGAAGTACTGGTTTGTTTGTTTGTTTGTTTGTTTGTTTATTTTTGAAATGGTAAAATGTTTTCCAGCTATTTTTACTGTTTTGATTCTCAGCAAATCATTATGCAATTAAACTGGCAATTAAGGGGTTGATGATTCTTTATCTTTGCAGGAACTCGGGATAAAGCATCCACTCCATCGAAAAAAACTTCAGCTTGCTCTTCAGGCACTCGGGTCTGAAGAAGAAAACAATCATGGAAAACTGGATTATCACTGGGTCACCAGTAAGATTTTATTCCATCCTAAAATATTAGTATCCCAAGACAATGGCTGGGAGCTTAGAACAGAAGGGAACTTGGGAGTTTTGTGAATACCTGAGAGTAAAAAATAACATGGAGAGTGTTGATTAGCTACACGACTGCCCTTAGTCCAGAGATGGTTTGGCATAATAATATGTTTGTTTTGTAGGGTGGTTGGATGATATTGGACTTCCCCAGTATAAGACTCAATTTGATGAAGGGAAGGTAGATGGTCGAATGCTGCATTATATGAGTGTAGTAAGTAAATAACACTTTTTTCTGGCATTTTTTTTTTTTTTTTTTTTTTTTTAAA